TTTTCATGTATCTTTAATAGTTTGCTATTTACTTGGCACATGTTTTTTCATCTATTATTTTGTCCGATTAAATTAAAATCTACAAGCAACAAATTTAAAGACATTTTTCTCACTATTTTAGATCGCTTTCTAAGAAAGTTATTTGAAAAACCGATTATGTGTGACTAATCGGCTGAATTTATCATTTTATAAACTCTAATGTAACCAAACAATACCCAGGTCGAACAGTACGGTCCGTATACGGTCATTTACGGTTACTTCACGACTATTTTACAGACGAAAGTTTGCCGTAATATCTGGCGCAGTAATACGAACCGTATGATCATGAGAGTACGGAGCACAAACAGCCGTAAACCATGAAAATTCAGTTCCGTTGATGGTGCCGTATTACTGCGCCAGATATTACGGGCAAATACGGCCTATTTACTGCCGTAAATATACCGTTTTGACATCGTTTACCGCTGATAAACAGACCGTAAACGAGTCCGTTTTGATCAGCCTGGGTGGTGAATATAATCTAACTGTTAATAATCGTTTATGGCTTCGTTCATCTTATACAAGTTTATACTAATAATCAATGGTTTACATCAAAAAGTCAGTCTCTTCATTTAATTGATTCAATTTTTAAACAAGGCTATGATGTATTATTAGAAGATTGGAATGAAGCAATATTTATTTATAAAGTCAAGGTTTTTATGCTCGATTGGCACGAACTAAGAAATGGGTTGTAGATGGAATTGTTGTGTCAAACTATACCACAGTTGCTAATCATCAATTAACTCATTTATCAATGCAACCGTATCGTTAATGGGTTCATTGAACAGGATCAACGTCATTTATTCTGAGTCGATCTATTTCTATTGCCAATGGCTGTATTGGATCGTTGAGTAAATAAATAGATGGATCTTCGCGATAGAATTATATGATATATATTACATTATCAACTATTTCATATAAAACAAGAATTAAAATTTTATTCTTTAAAACTAAGATGAAAAAGTTCAGTCTGCTCGGTTTTTCTATACTTTTATTATTCAATGTTTTCTTGTCTATACAATTTCGAAAGGTTCTACACGTTTATATTACTTGCATCCGGTAATTAACCAACGGTATTGATTGCAGGCTTAATATCGTTAGTAATAGAGCAATTATTCATTAGTGACAGATCTTTAATTTATTGCACTATGACATCGAAGAGTGTATACAGTTAAGATTAGTGTTCGTATCAATGGTCGTCATGTTTAACTGTCTATCATTAGTACGATAGAAAATATTTAGTGTTGTTACAAACACCCTCATACAGGATATTGATTTGCATGATGTTCAGGAAGCTGCACTGTTTATTAGATGTATATAATAACATGAAGAATAATTTATGTGAATCATGTTAATCAATATTAAATGAGCGAGTCACTTTTTTATACTGTGATAAAATTATTCATGAATACAATTATGGATTTGATAGTAAATGTAGAAAATAATGAAACGATAAATATTAAATGAGCAGTACGATGTCAAGAGTAGCTATTTTATTATGCGTTCTCTGTCATCGTATGAATAATTATAATCTATTGAATAGCTGCTGTAAATTCGAAAGTTTCAATTTTGATTATTTCGACATCATACTGAATGTTTCTGTAGACTAAAATATTTTGATGCTGAAGGTGCAGAAAAGACGTTGAATAATCAAATTCACATTTATTATGTATGATAATAAAAGAACGAAGATGTCTATGCAATTAAATTTGCCATGGAAGCCAGCAATTTTGTAAGAAAGATATATTGCCGTAATGAATAAACAGCCTTTTGCTTTCTATCGTTTTCCTCAGTTGTATCTTTCTTAGATTCATCATTTTTTTGTTTTATGCGCTTTCTGTCAGCCTGGTAAAATGCAATGTTACCACTATTTTTGTGAAACGAGCTTATTTACAACACTAATGGACCTATCAGGACACATGACAAATAGAACAGAATAAATCATTTAAAATGTCTTTGCTTTTCAATTAAGAAATATCTGAAGTGAAAGTTAAATAGATTCAAGAATATGTCTAGGCACTCTCATGTTAGCTATTATGTATTACAAAAACAAAGAATACTATATAATGATCGTTGTCCACAAACAACGACTATTATGAACTCCGTTATAATGACTATCCACAAAGTGTTATAGAAAAATATAGCAGAACTCTAAGTGCAATTTTTCCGATGTGAAATGTTTTCTTATAGAAGAACAGTAGCTATCTTGTATGATTAATTAACTTTTTGAACAGATCTTGGCAGGTAGTTATCCCTTGAGAAAAAAAACGGATGCCGTGTACCGAAGACTTACAACTGTAGCCTTAGTTTGGAAACAAATCAGAAGATAGGCTAATATCGTTTCATACAATTGAGACATTAAGAAATTGAATATAAGCATTTATAGCATAAGAGATATTTTAGTTTGATTGAATTATAAGTTGCTAGATCAGAATTTTTGATAGAATACTGAAGTAGCAACTTGTAAAGGTTAGAAACTCTGAAAACTATCTGCGAAATTCATGGAGGCATTGAAATGTATCGGTTTTAAAGTTATATATATATATATTAAGTAAGATTCAGGTAGGTCTATATATTTCATCATTGTTTGCAACATGTTTTTCTCCCCCATCATCAATCTAGATTCGGTACATTTGATGGACTACTGTTATCGATAACTTACAACGCTCTGTCAAAACAGATATGGTCAGTATTGCATGGATTTTTATATACGAAAGAAATAAATCCATTATCATTGTTGATGTCTCACATATGATAAAAGCAATACAAGTAAATATTTAATTGCGTGAAAGATAAAAAGCAATCAAAGATAAAATCCTATTTTGCGATCTATATGTTGAAAAAGTTGATGAAATTTCCGTCTCAACGCAACTCTAATCAACCTTACTGATATTGCCCGATGATAGAGATATGGTGTTGTAAGATATTTAAAGTATTTCATCTTCACATGATATCATTAAATTGTCAATTTTAATATCAAACAACATCTCATAGATAATTGCTAGACACTGAAGCGATTGTAATTGATGTTAATCTTACTAAAGAAAAACATTTAGTTGCACGACACTGTTCTTATCACTACAAACTATTAGCAATCGCGGTCAATATGCTGATAATCAACATACCGAAAAAATATATATTAACTCGCTACAGCTATCCTTGGATCGAGGGTTCATTTTTATGCAACATATATTATTGTATACTGTGATAATATTGCAAGAATTTATCATTGTATAACATGAGTAATTACTAAATAATCAAGGGAACCTATAAGAATATAAAGTGGCGAGGACAAACTGATTACTTTTAAAATTGAGATTTTCTTTTTATTTGTCGTGCTATTCATGTTAGATTTAACAATATGGTACCCGCGAATGCCTTTTGACCACGATGAAAGAAGAATGATGATCGAATTCGAATTATATTCCATTGTGTATGTGTACGGTGATGTGAAGCATAGTTGACATGAGCCATTCGAATAGCTCAAGAAGTACAATTATACATTAGTATTGTCTCAGAGAAAGTCGATAGCCAATCCAAATAATGTTTCTATTTGATTGATCGGCGCTAGTAAATCGGATGTAGTGTGTGTACTTCTCCATACCACGAAGGTATTTATTCAGTTCAGCTAGAGAAATAAATCTTCAAGAAAAGTTTTTTTTTTCCTATGGAAATATTAAGTGATAAAATAGTATCCTGGTACAAAATAAAAGATTTTTCATTCATAAAAAAGTAGATCCTATCAAATCAATTCTCTTATCGGCATTTAATGAATATGAATGGTGGTTTCATGAAATTTAACTGAAAAATAATTACACACCCATAATTTATTTCATAAAGAAACAACATGATTTTCTATCCGATAATTTCTAGATAGCTATGAGAAAACTATGATGTCGTTGTCATATAGCTAATATAGGGACATTAAAATTTTGGATATAACAAAAATTGAGAACTTCAAAGGCAAGAATAATTGCTTCCACTTAGAAAGAAAAAGGAAATGACACTTCACTCCTATCTAAAAATGTCCAGCTTCAGTAATTTCTTTCTTTCTAAATAACAACATATCCGAACACGTTTGTCTGAAGTGACACTATAAGTCATATGTATTTTTCAAGAAGTGATTCTTTTTTTTTATGCACTTTTCAATTATATCTGCACACTTTGTTTGCAAAAAAAATTGAAAATAACAATAGATAATTTTTTTATTAAATGCCATGCGTGCACGTCATATGAATTGAAAATATTATACTGATGAAAGATCTGATGGTAAAGTTTGTTACGATGATATTGCAATGCTGTAAATTTTTATTTGAATTTGAAAAAGTTGTTTGTTCAACGATGAATTTTTATCATTTAAGATTACATCCGTTCTAGAGTCTCTTGAGATAAGCTTCCGCTTTTTCAAGAAATCTAAGAGGATATATTCTTTTGAATCATACTTATGAGCATTAAGCGAGAAATAATATGAAAAGAACACTGATGAGTGGTTTCATAGCTTTCCTAGATGAATATACTGATCACAAGAAGACGCGTGTGCATGAATTCTAAAGCTGATCATATATTTGCACATCTACTTCAGTAATCTATTCTTTTGAATGATTCTTCTCACAAATTAGTAATTACAGGTTATAATCGGCTATCATGATTTCGCGCTTCACCTTATACAGATGATTGTAAAACGGGTGGCGAACTACTTAAATACACATGATGTACTCAAGGTCATTTTTAGAAAATTCTACGAATCAGATGAAAAGCGATTATTCTCTCGACATGATATTTCAGACATACTTCAGGTGGTTATTTAATAATTTTTAAAATAATTTTCAGCGACATCTGAATTTTTATATTTTTGTTATTGGTCATAAAATATACTTGAGAACATGACATGACATTAAGATGAACATAATCCTCTTCTTACTATTAGACCGTTTGTTTTACAAATTTTCTATTAACTATTATTCATGGCAACTCATGGTGATTTAGCAACTGCTTCTACGACTAGCAATACAGCTTCAAATAATAATAATAATAATAATACTTTTGCATCTGGTGGTGAGATAATTAATTTAGAACAATTAAGAAAACTATTTTCCTCAATATTTCTTAAGATGTTGACCTTGATCAACAAACACAAGAACAGCAAAGTCAAATCGAAAAAGAGGTAAATATACCTTGTGTATAATATCGATTCGAAGCAATTCTTTCTCTAGATTGCAAATAATCAACCATTAATAAGTGTGAAAATTTCAACAAGTGAATTGAAAAATGAATATTTAGCAGAAGATAAAGTTTATCAAGATAAAGTCTCGGTATGTTTCATAATTTTGATTGAAAAAAAAATAAATAGATTTATTCTGAATCCAAAAAAAAGGAATTAATGAAAAAATACAAATATCTTCGACGTACACGTGGCGATGGTAACTGTTTCTATCGGGCATTTGGCTTCGGTTTTCTTGAAGAAAAATATAACAATAAAAATGACATTGAAAAATTTCGCCAACTAATGTTAGATTTAAAAAATAAACTAATTCAATTAGGCTACTTAGATTTTACTGTTGAAGATGTGAGCGATGTGGTATGTTTCAGTAGAAAAATAGCTAACGATTATATTCATCTAGTTGTTTTAGGTCAATGAGTTAATTGATAATGTATGTAAAGGTGGAGATGAAGCAAGTTTAATGGAAAGTTTTTCTTCTCCAGCACATTCAGATTACTTCGTTGCTTATTTACGGTAAAATATTCAAATAAAGCTATTCACAGTACCGAGAAATCTCACTTCAATCGTATTTTCGATCGAATGAAATAATGATTAGCGTAATTTTTCTTTATTTAAAAATTACTTTCCGTACATTTCATATGAAGATAATTGATTTTAGATTAATTTGGCCATGCAAATTGTTAAACTTGAAGATGCTTTGAATAGATAATATCTGCAAGTTACTAGTGGCCATCTTATATAGAAGTGTATTTGAATGTTGAGGTAGTCTGCTGGAAAAAAATGCCCCACATACGATAAGAGGAGCTGTTCTAGGATAAAAGCCTTGTTTTGCTATCCCCCTCCCCCCTCCCCTCCGTCATAGTAGAAGTCTCCAGGGACTTCCATTATGGGAGGGCTACGAGTGCGACTTTCGTACAGAAGTTTCAAAAGAAACTAAAAAAAAATCAATGGTTCGATCTAACATAAGTAATAAAATTTTTAATCTCTGTTATCCAAAATATCAATTTAGGCTGAAACAGATTGTCTTGATTTCTAAAATTTGTTAAAATTTTGCTTCTTTCAAATTTTCTATTGTTCTTTCTGATTTTTAAGTTTTTATAACTTTTAATTTATTGGTGATTTTTTCTTTGAGTTTTTCTCATTTTAAACCAATTGATTTAAAATCAAGAAAATAAGAAAAGTCTGATTTCAGCTGTTTGCCCTTTGTGAAAGAGCCATGATTTCAATAATCTTGACTATTTATTTGCGATAAACTCAAATAATTTTACGAAAATCTGTAAAATTTTATATAGAGACAAAAAAATTTACTACTGCATCATTAGAAGCCCAGGGGGGGGGGGGGGGGGTGGGTAATCTGTTGG